AGAGAGAGAGAGAGAGAAAAGATAAAAAGTTTCACGTAAAACATTATATATTAAATAATGGATAAAATCGTTTTTGTTATTTCTTTTTAGACTAAACTGAAACAGTCGCGTAATAATTCTAAAAATACGCTTGCTGTAAAATAATAAATTACATAAAATGGACTTGAAGAAACAGCTTCGTGCGAAATACGATACGTGCCAAAACTCCTTTTAGATTTTTCGTATTTCTGCAACATGCTATCCCAATCAGTCGCATGTGTCGTGTACGACTTTGCGCGACAACACGCAAAAATAAAAATTCGCGTGATAATGCAAATACATAAAACGCATTGTCATCGTTATTGCGAGCATTTCATCTCCATTAACGATGACACATTTCTGGCGTCATGGTGATGAAACATAGCGCGTAAATATGCGACCCTACACGAGCGAACAACGTGGAAACGATAGAAAGAAAGTAGGTCTCTGCCAGAGACGTCGCCATTGAAACTGTTGTGTTTTCGCTGAAGAGAGGAAATATAACGAGGAGATTTATAACGACAATGCTGTGTGCTACACCGAGAGCATGCCGAAAAAATCATCCTGAAGAAAATCCTCTCAAATTCCGGCTAGCTTCTTACAATGCTTGTGTCGCACTTATCATCGCAAACGAGATCGTCCAAACTTTTTCCTTTCTCCCGCACTTCTTTTGGACATTCCGAGAGGTATGGGACGAAATTCAGACGATTCTTTAAACAAATCAAGCTCTCGATGAATGAAATCATGAAAAACACTTAAAAAAAAAAAAATCGCCTAGACGAACTGTTTATACGGGTGGTAGCAAAATGATTATAAGCATAAAAAGGAGTCTGAGTGGATTGAGCTTGAAGAGTGAAAAGAGAGTTTCTTTCTCGTGTGACAGCACCCCTCAATCACTTCTTGCTCCTCGCGGACTTCCTCTCGCCTTTACGCTATCGTTTCTCGTCCGAGATGCTATCGTTATAGTTTTTACGACAGTACTTTTTCTTAAGCAAATGTCCACGAATTTTTCTCCTCTGAAAAGACTTTACATATGCCCTTTCTATATGCGCGTACATAGTTGAAACGTATCCCTTTTAAATCATTGTTCAAATATTTTAAAAGCATCCCGCGTACTTTAGAATATCCCTCCAAGACTGTTTATTCTACGAAGATAACTGCAGAACGAACGAATCGTTTTAATCAAATTGCCGAGAATTTAAATCTAAAGCTAAGGAGAGATTAATTGACCGTGTGCGCAAGCTCGCTTTAATCACAGCCAACAGCGGTTTAAGTCCGATCGCTGTTTCCGCACGCAAATTGCTGCCGTTTCCCAACGATACGTCGCTCCTCGTAATCCTCTCGTCTTCGGAACGCGCGAGAAGCACGAAAAGCACGAAGGGACCCGGGGAACAACAATCGCTGCGATGTATAACACCGATTTTCCGTGCTTAACTTCGTCTCTTGACTCACGGACAGAGGGAAAATCCAAGCTGGCTCGACCGGGGTAGTATTATATACCGGTGGGTTTACATAGGTCGTACCACCTGGTAGATACATCGCTGCTCGTCGTTTACCCGACAAGCACGGTAAGAGAGACAGAAAGAGATAGATAGATAGATAGATAGAGAGAGAGAGAGAGAGAGAGAGAGAGAGAGAGAGAGAGAGAGAGAAAGAGGAGGTGGTTGCGATGGTAGCAGGTCGCGGTTAGGAAGACGAAGGCAGAGGACGGAAAGGGCGGCGGTGAGTATCAGAGAGAAGAGGTGGGAGGAGGGATGGCAAAAAAGAGCCGCGGTAGGGGGTGGTAGTGAAGCGGGCGGCGAGTGGGGTTGAAGCGGCGGTAGCTGAAGGAGGGAATGACCCCGCGTACCCGGGGTCAACCGTTGCACTATGCTCTCTCCGTGTCTCATAGTCATGGACGAGCCTCGTTCGCTCGCACGCTCTGATATGTTATATACTATATACGGGTTAGATGTGTCGTGTATATGCACAGGCCTGGAAGAAGCCACCTGAGCACACCTGAGTCAGGTGGTTGTTCCTACTCGCCTTACTGTCGTGTCATATATACGGCGCAGGTATATTGCGCATTGCCGTCGACGCGATATTTATGAATACACGCGGGATGAGGCTGGCGAGACGGCGGCGCCGAGCATTATTTCTCGTTATTGTCAAACGATATATCTCTGGGTCCTCCACCTCTCTCTCGAATAGCTTTCTCGCCTAGACGATGTCAGCTATCTCGCCCGAACATTCGCCCATGCGAAATACGTGGGAGAAAGTAGAAACTCGAGAGAGGAGATATTTTCATCTAGATTCACGCGTGAACAATGCATGTTGGAGGCCGTGACGTATGTAACGCATCAGGAAAGATACGTCGTATAAAATAACGCAATACTATTTCGTCTGTCGAGTTTTAAACCCGCTGTGGGAAAAAGTATATAGAGTGTACAACACACAACGTTCATTTAACGAAGTATCGAAATATCGATATTCTTTAAAACGCGCTTATTAATAATTAGATACACAACAAAATCCTATACTAACATTGGTTACGACGTTGTTAATCGTTTAATCTCAGATATAACGAATCATAGAGCGTACATATCGAAATTATGAGCCATTCGCGAAGCACTAGGCATTAATAATTTCAGCGTGCAGCTATTTTTCCGTACTTTCGTAAGACGCACGAGAACGTTGCGCATAAAAGTACAGAAAATTTGTATATCTCCTCTCCGGCGGGATTCTTTCGCGAGCGTTGGATTATTTCGCAACGTCAAGCCAAGTCGGATTTCGGTATCGCGCGCGCAACTGCTTGCGGAACGGTGAGCTTCCGCTTTCGAGAAATCGCTTTATGCGCGATTATATTTTTTAGCCGGCCGGCCGCGCCTACATTTTTCACCCAGCGCAGTAGATATCCGTGACGGTATTAACTTATGATGGACATAACCGTCCTGCATCCATCATAAAATCAAGTTACAGTTACGTGCTATCGCATGACGTTTCGATATCGATTCTACGTCCGTATTCGGCGGCGCGTACGTATATATGTATATATGTGTGTATCCGCGAAAAGCAAGACGCTGTATAAATCACGTTTCTAAGTCGATAATCGAGCACGATACGTACGAGACAATGAGAACGAGAGAACGTGAGATAACGATAAAGGCAGCCGATCGATTTGCGTATCGCGCAACAGTATCACGTCGTTGTGCTAGATTATAATCCAACCGCAGCATTGTAATTTCTCTATGGTATCGCACTGAAAATGAAGTGCATCGTCGCACACAGTTGTACAAGTTGCACCACCTCGCCCGTTGAGAATAGCACACGGTGAGAAACGCAAACGAGAACTTTTTC